CACCAAAGCTGAGGTCACCTCCTTGTAGCTAACCGTAGTTCTTCCATTTATCATAGTGAGAACAAACATACCAAAATCATCCTCCGGCAACGAAACTTCGGAACATCAATTTTTGTATTATTGATGCTCAGACTTTGTATCGCCTTTGAAAGAGACGATCCCGATGTGCTTGTTTCTCCCATGTTGTCGATCTAATCTTCAAATAGGAATCCTTCAGCGAATCCTTCGAACAAGCTCTCAAGTCCAACCCGGAGCTCTGATAGCACTTGTTGTGCGCAGCGGAAATTTCGGCAGCACCTCCGGTGCGCAAGGTGCACAACAAGAGATTAGATCACAATGGAATTCTTGTTTCTCAAAGGGAACAAGAACCAAAAGCCAGATATCTCATCAAAGTGAGATATCAGCTCTTCCTCTCGTCAGCTCTAGGACTGCGCGTCGAGGGATCCTACAAGCTATTACAAATCACAGCAAGAACATAACTTTTACGTGGTTCGGCAAATAGCCTACGTCCACGGGGCAAGTAGGGGGAGATCTACTATTAGAGGGAGAGATACAACTAGGGTTTAAAATCTCACAAATGTTGCTAACAGAAGTTTAACGTCATGGATGAAGGTCTAAGCTGCCTTATTTATAGCTATTACACCTCAAAATTCATAGTGATGGCAAGAAGTATGTGAAGTACATAAGGACAAAATTACCTGAACATGTCCCACGAAAAACACATCATAACTTAAAAATAACTATGGTAACTTAGTTAAAAGAAGTTTATGTAGTTTTCTCGAATTAAAAAAAAATTCACAATGGTTCTTTGCAAGACACCCCAATTTCATAGTGGCCTTGTAAAATTTAGTCATCCACAAAACTGGTGGTGTAAGCTGTGCACATGCCTTGCACAGTTGCACTCCTTTTCCTCGTGTGTTTTGGTTGGCAGAGGTCTACCTTTATTTGCTGGCAAGTAATGGTGAGAGATCTAAGCATCCAAGTCTGAGAGAACAAAAGTTTTTTGAGGGGAGGTGCCAAGACACAACCTTGTGCATAAAGCGAAAGTCTCAACCGACCACATTATTAAAGTGGTTCTAAAAGCCACAAAAATCTGCATAGATTGGATGAAATATTTTAGTAGGTCATATAATTAAGTTAGGCTCCTATTGTTTTTCCACATTGGCTGCTGATACTTCACTTTAGGGGGGGAAATGGAATTATGAAAAAAATTGTTTTGGGCAAATTTCATAATCCCCATAAACTTAGGGGCTTGTTATCATGAGATCTCTTGGTACTTTTTTTCTCCACCAAACCACCAAAACTTTGGGATGTCTCACAAAACCACCTAAACCTTCAAATTTCCCACAAACTTCATAACAAGGTTAATGGATCGACAAGAACTTATTGCCTTACACGATCAAATTAATGGTTGGTGACCCCGTTATCATCATTAGGGGGTCTGTTTGGGAAATTTTGAAAGTTTAGGGGGTTCCTTGAGACACCCAAAGTTCAGAGGGGCTTGGTGCAGAAAAAGACTTGAGGGGGTTTTGTGGAGAAACCTCAAGGTGCAGGGGTTTTTGTGAACTTTATCTCCCTTCTTTTTTCCTTCAAGTGTTATTTGCAAGGCTAGTATCCTTATGTCCTAGGCGTGTGTGCGTACATATAATATTAAACAACTAAACCATCAACTACCCTAGAATATAGTGGACCTTGCTTTCACATAATTCCTTTGATAGGTGCATCAAACAGGTTTTGCTTGTGGGGTTTAATCTGCACCAAACTTTGATAAAGCTAATGAATGCCCTCAAACCAACCCTTAATTAGATAATAACACTCAAGATATTCCAAGTATAGGCATGAGATTTCTTCCAATGAAAGATTGTTCATCATTGTCTAATCATCCATGCATTATCCAATTGTCCTCAAAGAACTATTGATATTATGAAATTTGGATGTACATGTTCGTCTAGTAGTTGGAATTGTATAATTTCTGCAGCACCAAGAAGAAAGTTTTTATCCCAAATTTCTAGGGTCGGCTACATAAATAATGGTCTTCCATTTATTTTCGTTATGGATCTCTTTAAAAACCATAGTATAATTTCTGAGTCTTGCATTTTGCATTTTTGTTTCTGATAGAAATGCCTCCCAAGCGCCAAATGAGAACTTATTTCCCTACTATAAATATATAAGAGCAGAGAAAACAGGGGTTTGTCTCTCTGAAAGGACTTCCTCTTTGATATCTTTTGAAGCAAGCATAAATCAATCCATGTGTGGCCCTCCATATTTATATGTTAGCATTCAAAATTTAAGATGTGAAATTTACATGATATTTAGATGAGTTGGCCAGTGCATATTATCATTCATGTGCTTTCATCTTTTTTTGGTGGTTGTGAATGGAGGGGAAAGGGTCCAAATTTTGGTAAGTTCAGTTTTGATCCTAGACTTTTGAGGTCTTGAACTACACTATATGGCTAGCCATCTTTATCTAGGTGAGTAAGGAGATATAACCATTAATGATGCATCGAAGGTTGGGTGGGGGTGGGCCTAGTAGGTCACATGGCGAAGCCATGTCGCTCCCCCGTGGGGAGCCTGGGTTCAGTTCCTGACTATGCCAAGGGCGCCATAAAAAATGATACATTGAAGGCTGAGGGGTATTATTATTTTAAAACGCATTGAATCTAAAGGACATAGCTATTTGATATTTTCACCTAAGAGCGAGTATATGTATCATCATGTTTCTCAGAAAAATTATGCTCTATAACTTTAAAATTTTAATAAAGTTTCTTTCTTAGTTATTCTAATAATTTTTAATTTAGAAAAAAAATGTTGCTTCTTGAAGCTTTTCATTTAACAAATGAAGGCAATAACCTAGGGAGACTTTTTGGTTTTATACTAGTCTTTATTTATAATAGGATTGCATTAGTTGAAATTAGTTGAAGGTGATACTCCAACAAGATATACTTGAATTGATCAATGATCTTAAGGAAAAAGGAGGCATCAATCTGAAACCTTTGTTATCAAACTCTCTCCTATTATTAGTTTTTTTTTTCTAGCGATGATAGACAACTTAACTTTGAGGTTGATCAACCTAACGGTAGGGCCAAATGAAGGTAGGTTAGCAAATGTTGGTGCCTTAACTCATGAAGCAATCTCTTCATTCATAGAGAAGCAAATTGATCTTAGCATATGGTTAATTTATAAAAGTACATAAGTTTGTTTTTATGAAAAAAAAAATGGATAAGGTTTGGTGTGCATTAAAAGGGATAGGACCAAAAGCTCCATTGCCTCGTATTGAAGAATGAACGTGCATGTACAAATATCAAAATAAATTTATAAGCAAAATTTACTAACATGGACATATGGGGCTACATTTTTAGCCTCTATCTCTTTTTTTTTTTATTACTTTATAAAATATTATTTTCTTAATGTGGGTCATATTCTGTCAGTAAAGATTTTTTGGAATCTATCATTTCTTAGATTAGTTTTCTTCCTATGTCATGATATAATTAGTCTTATCTTAAGACTTCTGAAAGTAAGAATTAGGCTATCTTCGTTGCTTAAATTTCTTTCACCGTATAGACCCTATTTTTGACCGAAAGAAACCAGGTCTTTAGTCCATAATTGAGGCATTCACTTTCCACGTGTACCATCTTTAAAAAAAACAAGCTAAACGTCATATAAAAAACCCCTTTTTGATGTACTATCAAAAAAACCCTCTTTAACTCTCAAAATATCAAACTTCTCTTAAGTTTAGCTTAGGGGTTATCAGAAAATCTCCTTTAACTTTGAGGTTTTATAATTAGGGGGGTTTTCTGATAAGATCTCAAAGTTAAACAGGGTTTTCTGATAAAATTTAAAAGTTAAAGAGGGTTTTTGTAATAATCTCTATACTTAATGTGAGTTTTTCTGATATCTTAAAAGTTAAAGGGGGTTTCCTGATCATCATCCAAAATTAAGGGGGTTTTGTGATATTTACCCAAAAACAATACAACAAGAAGAAAGTGTTATTCTATTTTATTTAACAAAGCTCCTAATATTATTTAAGTATTTCCCACCAACAAGTGGATTCTGATTAATATTCATTAAATAATCTGTGCTCTCTTATCAAAACAAGCGCACACACGGAAATCAACACCGTTGTCGTTGTCCTGCTGCTAAAATACAACACAAGCTTCAGTATCAAATTTTAAGAAATATTTGATTAAGTGGCAAATATTCATTCTGAGGTGAAACTGTTCCTCTGTTCAGAAAATTTCAGCTGCTTTTACCCGCCATCTAGCGGTTTCCGACATTAAAACAGCTTTCATGGTGACCGTTATCATAAGCAAGCGCTATCTGCCCTAAATGCCCCTAGCACATTTCCTTATTCCTCCTATATCCAAAACCATGCCATCTGTTAGTTATACTATTCTTAATCCTCTAAAATACCCTTATTCTGGTTTGATAAATTTAAAAAATATTGAGAAATTTTTTCTTATTTTATTGGTCAAGAAAATTGCTTCTGTTCTTTTTATCTAATGTGCTCATGAACAGAAATATGAATGCTCTTCTTCTCTCAAGTTAATTTGTAAATTATTAATTTCATTAGTAAATAAAATTAAAATAATCGTTACATCTGAATGTTTGTACTTATCTTAAAAATTTATATAAGATAATTGTATTGATCTAACCTTATGGATTATTTTGTGACTTTAAATAGTATTTAATTAAAATAATTATCCATAATAATTAATCCATATATTCCCCGTTTAAACTACAACTTTAATTTCTAGTGATAAGTGATTGAAATAATAACATAAGAGAAATACCCATTTCTGATAATTCTCATTAATGGGAAATGATAGTCATTAATTGATAAAATCAAAAGTCAAAAGTAAGAAGGTTATTCTTAGAATAAACAGACTTGCCAGGAGGCATTTTAGTAAAACAAAAACCTCAAGACTCTTTCGTTTTTTTTAAGAAAACCTCAAGACTTAATTACGGCCAATAATTTCCAAAAACAAAAAAGCCCCTCATGGATACGTCCCCCCTTTCTCCCACCTTTCTTGTGCTGAAAAATTGAAAAAGGGTAGTAAAAAGAAAGAAAAGCAAAGAGAAATCCAATAGCAACTCTAAAAACAGCAGCTCCACTAGACCGAAAGAAAATTGTTCCAATTCGTCAAAAAAAGGAGATAAAAACGAAGGAGGATTCCTCGCATGGGTTTTCTGCCAACCCTTCCCCTCTCTAAGCTTTCCTGGTTTCCTCCCAAAATACCCCTCTCCCCTCCTTTTCTTCGATGGTGGCTGCATGCAGCTGAAGATGGGTTCTTTTGAGTCTCATGGCAATTTGGAGAGATGGGTTTGATGAAAGATTGGGACTTGGTAGTAAAGTTTTTATCTTTTTTGTTCTGAGTTCAGAATTTCTTGTGTAAGGATTTGAGCGTGGGAGGCTTGTAGTTGACTTCAGAAGAGGAGAGCAAAGTTGGAGGATGCCCACAGTGGAAGAAAAGTTCTGATTCCTTGATTTATCCATCAATAATACAGAAAGATTGCGCTTAGATTCCTCAGCCTTTTAGCTGTCAGAAATGGGAAAGTCTCCAATTTTTCAGAGATTTTCTTCTGTGCCTAATTGGAGCTATGGTTAAAATTCTCAGGTATTGATTTTCTTGGCTCTTCCTATTTGTTGTTGGTATTACTCATTCTTCTTTTGAGATTTGACCATGTTATTTGGTGAGATTTGGTTCATGAATCCTTGTTCCAAGAAGTCAATAAGCACATCCTTTTCTTATTCATGTGCCTCTATCAGATTCAGTGAACTATATTAAATGGTTACGTTTTTTTTTTTACCCTTATTTGTCTTCTGTAATCTGCATCTACAAAGTTTCCCCAAAGGAATCTGCATCTAGAAACATGATTTCCTTGGGCATGCTAGATTATGTCATGTAAGCAACTAACACCATTTTTATTTTCAAGTTTGATTTGTTTCTTATGTTTATTCTCATTTCATGATCTACTCCAGGTCCGATTTGGTTTAATAAGTCCAATTTTGATATTTGAAGCCGCTGAAGTAAGAAGTTAAACTTGACATTCATTTGATTATCATGGCTAAGAAATCTCATAAAAGGTCTACAAGGCCAAAGAAGGACAATGCAGGATGTATGTCAGGTTTTATTAGCATGTTTGATTTCCGTCAAGGTCGTTTTACTCGAAAGTTACTCTCTGATCGAAAACATGGGAGTAGTAGACATGCAGGTAAGACAAAATATCTGATACTTGTTTATGAAGTTTTTTTAGTTTTTTCTTTACTATATTTTGTTCTAGCTAGTATTTGGTATCTCCATCCTATATAATTTTGAGATAAACTAATTTATATGTGATATAATTTAAAATTATCAGGATCCGTTAACAGACAAATCTCTTGACATATATATTTTTTTAAATTGTGGGGAGGCCTAATTATGTTGAGGGTCACTTATGTTAATGTACTTCTTTGGGTGTTTTTTATGTTGTAAATTGTAAGTTGCGCAACATGCACCTTAAATTTACTACACAGTTTGTTCACAAACTTTTGTTCTTAAATAACAATACGATTGAGGAACAAGAACAATTGCACGATGATAAGACATTAGGGACATATGAAGTCGTTTCATTCAATTCTTTTCAGAATTGTGAACTTCCAACTATTTATTTGTTTATTATTAAAAAAACAAGTATAAATGTGTTTGTATTCATATGCACAAAAACTTTCCTCGTGTTAATCCTAGGTGACCTATTGGCTCATGCAGGAACTGTACATTCAAGGAACAAATTTGAGGTTCTGAGCAATTTGGATGAGAGGAATGAGAATGTTAGTGTAAGTATTGTCTAACTGTCTAATAAACCTTTTTTTCTTTTTGCATCTACTAGTCAAACCAATGGCTATATCATTTTTTATATGTGCAATTTTTTATCTCTTTTAGATGTAAGTAATTCTCTATTGTCCTTGATTAATGTTGCTCTCTGTTTCATTTCCACTCTTTCTATATCCATATGTACATGCTCCGTATTGTTATCAGCCAAATTTACTGCTCTATCGTATTATTCATCTTATTATCTTGGAATGACTAAAATATATAAAATGTATGCACATGCACAGAGATTGACTCTTTAAATCATTTAATTTTAGGACATTGATGCAAAGGAAGTGAGAAAAGATGATTCAATTAAGGCTAGTGTCAAGGCATTGATGGCAGAAGAGATGTCGACAACTTGTATATCAAAGGAGATTTCTGATTCTAGCATCGAAGAAATACGAACTAAGTTGGATTTTGGGGATGATCATGAGAACAAACACAAGAGAAAACATAGTCAAAATTATAAGGTAGAACACAGTGCTAATGACTCGAGAGCTTCTGAGAGCTCCTCTTTTGATGTGAACCTAGCCGAATTAATGGTAGAGCTCTGCAGAGAAAAGCATATCGAAAGCAATGGCGATATCGAGCCTGATTCTAAGCTTACTCAAAAGCACTATATCCTTCAAAAGGCTCTTAGTGATATAACGGAGTCCTTTTTAACTCGGGATTCTGTCAATTCGAAACAAATTAGTTGTCATGGGGATGACCAATCAAAAGAGTTCATGAATGCCCTTGAAATGCTGAATTCAAACAAGGATATTTTCCTAAAGCTTCTTCAGGATCCAAATTCACTTCTCTTCAAGCATTTTCTAGACATTCAGAATGCAAAGGCTTCTGAAATTTTACATGAAATCAATCCTGCAGAGTCTATAAATTCCCAGCAGCCACACAAGCAAACTAAACATCATTTTTTCAGGAAAAGGGATAAAACAGAAAGAGGAAAGCCGTCAAATGAGAACAACTCTCAAGATTTAAAGCGGATAGTTGTTTTGAAGCCAGGACCAGTGAATTATGAAGGCTATTCAAGCACAATTAACCCAATCTCTTCACCAAGATCACTTCACAATACGTCTCATTTTTCTTTCAAAGAAATCAAAAGGAGGTTGAGAAATGTGATTGGTGATAGCAAAAAGGAGAGGAATTTGATTGCCATGGACGGTATTCTACATAAAGTTCCATATGGGTCTCAGAATTCTAATGTGAACAATAAAAGCTCAAAACTTTCTTCATTTCTAAATGGAGGAGATAATGATGCCAAATTAAAACAACACAAGCTAACTGGTGCTCATCCATTGCATAGAGAATCTGTCTTTTATGAGGAGGCAAAGAAGCGCCTCGCTGAGATGTTAAGTGCTGATGCTCATAATGAAATTTCATCTCCAAGGGCCTCAAAGTCATTGGGCAGGATACTGTCTCTACCAGGATACAGTTCATTCTCTCCTAGATTTAGCCCTGGAAGAGAAAAAGAGCTTAGTTCACCAGCCCAAATGAGATCATCGCCATTGCAGAAGATTAAACAGGATGATTCTAGTGAGAATTCTCCACGCATTGATAGGAATCCAGATGATCAACCTCAGGTGACGAACTCAATCTCAATTGTCGCTGAAGTCCAAATGCATATCGAAGAAGACTTGGTCCAAAAAGGTATGTTTATAACTGGGACCTTCTACATATAATTTATGGGTTTTTTTGTATATGTACTCCTGAAATCATGTATATTTGCTAAGCTACTCTCCAAATCTCAGTATTTGCAAACTATCCCCCAATCATCAACTTTGGGGAAAAAATTACACCCGAATCAACAAATTATCAAGTTGATAGGCTAATTTATAGTTGCAATGTAAAATTATCAGGAAAATACTGAAATTTAAGTCACCATATCCTACAAAGTTGATGATTTTTCGATTGGTTTTTTTTCTTCTTCAAAAATTGATGATTTGGGGTTAGTTTATCAAGTACTAAGATTTGCAGAGTACTTTTGCAAATATTCATAATTTAAGGGGTATATATATACAAAAATGAAAACCTATCCTTTATATTCCAACGGAGCACAAATGAATGTTATTATAACTTCTTTCAGGAAGCACCAAAACTGACAAGAGTGAAGGTTTAGATATACAGTTGGAATTAAGTACCGATGAATTTGATTGCAATAGTGAAGATTGCAACAAGGAAGAAGGGTCTCTTCTGATTTCTGACTTGGTAATTGAACA